AGTGTGTGTGTGTGTGTGTGTGTGTGTGTGTGTGTGTGTGTGGGACGAGAGGGGGGGGGGGCATAAATGCGGCTGTAAAGCCAGACGGGGATGACAGCGATGTGAAACGGAAAGCGAAAGAGGTAACGAGAAGTGTGGTAAATGCGTTTGTTAGAGAAGACGGGATGAAATGCAAATAATCGTAATAGCTTACATAAGGAGGCACTGCGCAGGAAGCCATGAGACCGCACAGGTGGAAATATGTGTGTATGCACGCGTGTATTCAGGAGGGTATGAAGAGAGTTGCAGGGGAAACGTTGTAAAAGGTAACGGAGGGCAGTGAATTTAAGGAGGAAACACATACAAAGATAAATAAATAAAGAGATGAAAGAGTGGTAGTGGGGTTCATGGCTGTGTTTGTTTGGTTTGTGTTTTCTTGTGTAATGTGGTTTATACTCTTTTTTCTTGTTGTTTTGTTTTTCATTTTTTTTTGTGGATTTTACGATATGCAGAAAAAAAGAAATAAATAAATAAAACGACCATAGGAAAGCAGGAGGCAAACGCGAATATTGTGTGTGTGTGTGTGTGGGGAAGGAGGGAGGGAGGGGGTAGAACTTCTCTCTCTTTTTTGTTTTCTGATTATTATTATTATTACTATTATTATGTGGTTCAGCATGTAACCACCCACTGCTTTTCAACCTTATTGCGTCCAGCGGTGATGATATATGACCACCATCACCCACTCCTTCTGGCTTGGCTTGCTGGGTGGTACGCGTTGCGCGCTTCTGCGGATAGTTGCAGTGATGCAGTCCACGCCGTGCTCGCAGATAAATGTGGGGATCATTGGATGAACGGGTGTGTGTGGGGTGTGAAAAAAACAAAAAGAAAACGAAAACGAAAATGAAAAAGAAATAAACCAACTGTAGGGAATGCGTCTGTCCACACCACATGGTGGAAATACTCATATGGGTGTTTGACTTCTGCCTGGGAAGATAGGAGGTGGTGGTTCGTTTTTTTTTTTTGCTTTCTTTCATTTTTTTTCTATTTTGTTGTTGATTTGCTTTCAATTTTTTTTTGTAAAAAAAAGAACAAAAAAAACAACAAATAAACAAACAAACAACAGCAATGGAGCAATAATTTTATTGATGGTGATGGTGGTAGTGGTGCCTTCCTTTTTTTATTATTATTATT